CACTTCCCATCTCCCATAGAACCCTGCCCAACACTTGGTTGGCTACTGCCTAATTCCTGGCCTCCGAGCCCCTCCCCTCATCCTGTTTCCGAGCCCCTTGCAGTTAGGCTGAGAAATTCTTGGACATATCTGCCATAGTAGTCTCATTTTTCAAATATCTACTCCATGGAGGTGGTAAGATTTAGCAAGTGATAAGAAATCTCCAATCAGCCCTCTCTCAAAGGTACACATGCCTACTCAAACTCTGAGGGCTAATCACCTTCTCCTCTTCAGTGTGCCCAAAGTGCTGTGTTTATAACTCGTTCACAATGTGCTTTCGGTTTGATTTATACTATAATTATATGCCTGTATCTCCCAGCACTAGACAGTGAACAACATGAGGGCAAAGAATCATCTAATTCACCTCTGTCACTCCCTACAGTATCTAACACAGGGAATGACACACAGCAGGCATCAATAAGTATTTATTGAGTTGAAAAATGAAAGTAAGAAACCACACAGTGGTCTAATTCAAGACTCTATCTTCCTCTAAGTCATCCTGCTCGAGTAAGGAGGAAAACAAGAGGTAAGAATATTCTCTTTCTTCTCCAACACACTTCACCTCTCAGAAGGAAGCGCCCCCACCCCAAGCACAGCCCTGGTCTCTACCAGGTTGAGTTTGTGTGTGTTGGGTGGGACTCCATCACTCCTCTGAACCAGAACTTGAAATCGCCATCACCCAGCAAAAGCAACAAACTCCAGAGAAACTAATGTTCCTGGATGGGCACATTGGGGTAGATTCATGCATTACTTGCATGTTCACCCTAAACACCTACTTTGTGCCAGGTGTAGGGTTACATACTGAGGGAAGGCAGGGAAGAGACCCTCTCCTTGCCTTCAAGACACTGAGGCAATCCTGCCTTAACCTTGGCTGCCTTTCAGTAGCACCAAGAGATTTTGTTAAAGACAGATACCAGGATGTACTTCAGACCTTACAAATCAAAATCTCTTGAAGTGGAGCTTAGATACCTGCATTTTTTTAAAGCTCCACAGGTTAATTGTGATTCAGAGCCAGGGTTGTAAGCCACTGATCTCTAGATCAGTGCTGTCCAATAGAACTTTCTGTGATAATGGAAATTTTCCATATCCACTAGCCATGTGTGGCTGTTGAGCACTTGAAATAAGGGCAGTAAACTAAGGGATTGAATTTTTTTTTTTTTTTTTGAGACAGAGTCTCACTCTGTTGCCCGGGCTAGAGTGCTGTGGCATCATCAGCCTAGCTCACAGCAACCTCAAACTCCTGGGCTCAAGCAATCCTTCTGCCTCAGCCTCCCAAATAGCTAGGACTACAGGCATGTGCCAACCATGCCCGGCTAATTTTTTCTATATATGTTTTTAGTTGGCCAATTAATTTCTTTCTATTTTTAGTAGAGTAAGGGTCTTGCTCTTACTTAGGCTGGTTTCAAACTCCTGACCTTAAGGGATCCACCTGCCTTGGCCTCCCAAAGTGCTAGGATTACAGGCGTGAGCCACCACGCCCGGCCTTGAATTTTTTATTTTACTTAATTTTAATTCATCAAAATTAAAACAGCCACACATGGCTAGTGGCTACTGTATTGGTCTGCAAAACTCTAAATGACTCCAGATTATTTCAATTTGGTTTTAGAATACTTTTCACAATACTGTAGCTGCTATGTCTCCATTTCCTTCTGCTCAGGAGAAACAGTGAGCTTCCCTTCCCCAAGGACATTTAATTTGCACTGAAGAAACTACTCTAGAATGTACTAGGGGGTAAAGGGCAATCTGGTGGGATTAAGTCCCATCAACTAGCTAAGCCCCTAGAACAGCTTCCAATCCTCTGGACTGGAAAGAAGGCACTCCTAAGTTTGTTTGAGGTTGACATTGGGGGAGGACAAAAAAGAGCAGTAACATGGCTTTGGTTACCTGTCATAGATTGAATTATGTCCCCTAAAACTCACATGTTGAAGCCCTAATATGACTATATTTGGAAACGGGGCCTTTAAAGAGGTAGGTAGAGTTAAATGAAGTCATCGGGATGGGGCCTGAATCCAACATGACTGGTGTCCTTCTAAGAAGAGAGATACCAGGAAGGTGCACACACAGACAAAAGGCTACGGGACAACACAGCAAAAAGGCAGCTGTCTGCAAGTCAAGCACAGATGCCTTAGGAGAAAACAAACCTGTCTTGGTCTTGGACTTGCAGGCTCTAAAACTGTGACAAAATAAATTTCTGTTGTTTAAGCCACCCAGTCTCCGGTAGTTTTGTTATGGCAGCCTTGGCAGACTAATATATAGTGCCCTTGGGAAAAGACAGGCCCAGGACTCCAATCAGGCCCTCCCTGACAAGATGCACCTCAGCAATTGAGGACAACGGCCCCACTAGAAGCCAGACCCAGCAGTGACTCTGCCATACCCAGGCCTTCAAGTCACCATCCTCATTGCTACTGTCCAAGCACCTCTGTGAATGATCTAGAGACCCCAACTGTAGGCTTTTACCCAGACCCTACCATGCCCCTAGGATGTCCTCACTATAAACTCTCTTCCATTCCTTTCCCTGTTGCACCCACACTGCCTCCTATTTGGCCTGCCCCTTCCTCTCCTTCTGTGGGTTTCTACCTCTTGTTGGGTGTTTTCAGCGTGTGTCTTCTGTGCATCTCAATTCCCCCACTGAGCTTTAAATTCTCAAAGATTATTCTAGCTATCAAGACCCTTCACAAGCTAGCTTTGACTTCTCTCTCCAGCTTTTTCTCCCAACTCGGCCAACACTATAATCTATTTGACACCCCTTGAATACAACAATGCTGTTCTCTAAGTTCTCCAAAACCTTCCCTAAAATACCACCTCTTTGAGAGAGCTTCCCCTGACTGCCTCAGCTCAATATATAATGGAACCATGGCTTCTATCCTTGTGCAATTATTCCACAGTGTCTAATCCAGTGCTCTTTACTCACAATTCCCTACTTAGCACTCTACCACTGATAGAAGAGAGGAAAAAGGAGTCTAAGGCATGTGAAAGTACAATATTGTAATTCAATTATGATGCCAGCCACCTAGAGTTAGTGCACAAACTACAGGTTTAAGGGCACAGTCCCCAACAAGACTGCCCTCAGTTCAGATGCCAGTCATAAACCTCTGGGTCCTCGGGCCACTTGCACTTCTAATCACCTGGCTACAAATTCAGGAGTTCCCACAATCCCCTCAGGTTCAATAACTTGCTAGAATGACTAGAAACATAGATTCAGGAAAACACTATACTTATGATTAGAGTTTTATTATAAAAGATACACATCAGGGCCAGCCAAATGAAATGTAAGGTGAAGTCTGGGAGTGTTCCAAATACAGAGCTGTGTCCTTTGCCCATGGAATCAGGACAGGTCACCCTCCTAGCACATCCATGTGTTCACCAACCAGGAAGCTAGTCCAAAATCTCAGTGTCAGGAGTTTTTATGAGAGTATCACTATGTAGGCATGATTGATTAAAATCACGGGACATGTGGTTGAACTCAATCTCAAACCCCTCTTCCCTCCCTGGAGATCAAGCTGACATCACCCAGCTCAAAGTCTAATCATATGGCTGGTCTTTCTGGCATGGTCAACTTCCATCCTCAGTCAAATCTTAGCATAAACTCAAGTGCGGTCTGAGATCAAATTTCAATATTAACTTAGGTATGGTTTAAGGTCAAATCTCAACATAAATTCAGGTGTGGTTTGAGGGACCCACCATATATAAGAAAGACACTCCTATCACTTGGGAAGTTCCAAGTATTTAGAGTTTCTCTTTCAGTAACTAAGACAAAAGCCAGGCAAATTCTTTATTATACAATGGAGGAGGAGAGGGTTTATACTAAAAGTCTTATTAATTTTGAAAGCTACAGATCATCTGTGTCCTAGGAGATGGGAAGAAGACCACGTGTTCCACATTAAGGTGGTCTCAAGATCTGCTCTGCTCCCAACTTGGTCCACTTTCTCAAGTCTTTACCAAAGGGGCACCTAACTAGCCATTTAGCAGACATAAAAAATGAGTTAGAAACTAGGCATCCATCCGCCCCATCACCTGCTCCTTAATAGTATCCTGTGTATCACATAAACTACTGGGCAGGCCCCTAACAGAGACCATGCGGCTTTGGTAAGGCAACTAGGTATCTGCTACATCCTTATCCCAGCTACCCAAAAGAACTTTTTGCAAACAAGAAGCAAGAGAGGGGAAAATCTAAATTACCTCCCACCCCTGACATGCAGAAGGAGAGGAAAAAGTACCAAGACTAAAGGGTTTAGGAGCTTTTAATGCTTAAATTGAAAAAAATCACAAGCTGTGTTTTCATAAAGTCATTGGTCCATCTCTGGTAGGGCAAGAATGTGCCCCTCGCCCTGGCCACAGGTGGAAGCCCAGACTCCCCCACAGCAAGGTCTTCAGAGTGGAGAGGGGCTTCCCTTGTAGTGCAGTGACACCCCAGCCCAGAGTCAAGAACACAAGGAGAAGAATACATAGTGAGCACCCATATGCCAGCCTATGCAAGGCACTTTCCAGTGTTATCTCAGTTAATCCTCACACCAACCCCACGAGTAAGCATCCCCATTTTACAGATGAGGAGTCCTGAGGCTTAGAGAGGCTAATCAATTATCCATCATACAGTTCACCAGTCTGTCAAAGCTGGGATGAAAATCCAGGTCTTCTGACTTTCCCACTCCACCACACTGAATTCTCCCTCTGGTCCAGCCTCAGCTTCCCATAAGAAGTTCACTTTTTTTTTTTTTTTGAGATAGAAGAGTCTTGCTTTGTTGCCCAGGCTAGAGTGCCATGGCATCAGCCTAGCTCACAGCAACCTCAAACTCCTGGGCTCAAGCAATCCTGCTGCCTAAGCCTCCCAAGTAGCTGGGACTACAGGCATGCACCACCATGCCCAGCTAATTTTTTCTATATATATTAGTTGGCCGATTAATTTCTTACTATTTTTGGTAGAGATGGGGTCTCACTCTTGCTCAGGCTGGTTTCGAACTCCTGACCTTGAGCAATCCTCCCGCCTCGGCCTCCCAGAGTGCTAGGATTACAGGCGTGAGCCACCGCGCCCGGCCAAAGAAGTTCACTTTTAATATCACGTCCCATGTTTTGTCCTGGCACTATGAGGAAAGGCATCAGCAGCAGGAAGCTGTTCTATATGAATGGGTAGGGATCTTGGCAAGATTCCTCTGAAACAGCAAATATGACCTTAGAAGTCATTGTCTAGGTCACTCTCTGCTGAACAGAGTTTCCCAAGGAAACAATGAGGCAGAGCAGGCTGCAAGTGCAACAGAGCCCACCTTCTGCAGACTCTCTGTGGAGTTAGATAACGCAAAAGGGGTGATGTTCAAAGGAAGGTGAAGAAAGCAGGAGTCAGGAGGGCGAACAGGAGTAGTGTCAAACTGCCACGGCAGGTTGGAAGACAGTCAACAGATCAAAGAACATGTTTCCCAGCAACTGGGGAGCCCAGGACCTTTGGCTCTCATCCAGAAGGTGTCTTGTCCTATGCCAGGCCCCAGGGGTATTCATTTCGATAGCAGGGGCAGCAGCCCCAACTCGGTCAGTCTTTCCTTGGCCACTGCCTCCCAGCCCTTGTTGGCCTGTGGGTTACGGGGAGAGGGATGCAGCAGCCCCTCCACCTGCACCTCTGGCATCAGGCCTGACAGAGCCCGCCGTGCCCGCTGCTCCGCCAGTCGCCCCACTCCCACCACCAGCCGCACCCCCAACAGCTGCACCTGCCGGCAAAGGGCTGCGTCGCAGATCCCAAGAAGCTGTTCTCGCTGCTTGGCAGGCAGCTCAGCAGGAGTGAGGTTGCGCCCACTGGGAGTCAGGAAGAGCAGAGGACACAGATTGTGGACAAAGCAGTGATGGAAGAAGACCTCGGGCTGTCCACAGAGGTTCTGGAAAAAGCCCCAGAATCGGGCACCGCTCACTTCTGACTGTGGGCACTCCAGTCCCAGCACTGGTCGTTTAGGGTGCTCTTGGGGAGGGGTCAGCACAGGCCCCCCAATGCCCAACCAGTCCCGGACCATGCTCACTTCCCCAAAGGGCACCTGTGAGGAAGGAGAGAAGCATGAGTCTTTATACCAGAGACCTGATGCCTGGGCTCTGGGTCAACTGACCCCTACACACCTTCACTGAGATCTAGCCGGGACCCATCCACCTACACCTTCACCTGAGATGAGGATTCCTGGCCCTGTGGTTTGAGCCTGTCCATCTTTCTCCAGTGTTTCATTATGGACCATGGTCCAGAAAAATCTAATTGTTTGCCTCTATCCTCATTAGCCTTTGGGACCACACACAGGGAATACACTGAGATATCTGGCCCTGCATAGGGCTTCATGGTTAGTATCAGGGACAGACAGATGGCCTGAGACAGAAAGGCAGCCAGAATTAAAGGAGGTACGAGGGCAGGGCTGACCACTGCTTTCTGGGTGCCCTCTCAGCCCCAGGCCTCAGGCTGTCATTCCCATCGATCATTATTGATCACCTTTCATCACCCAGTCAGGGTCAATAAAAGCGATTGAGTCTCCTGCCCTGAAGCCTCTTCCCCTCCCCCCATCCCCCCCAAGCACCCCCCACTGAGGGTCAGTCACTTATCCTGAGCTCTGAAAGGAAAGCAGGAAGGCCCTGGAGCCTGGCTCTAGTTTGAACCTCTCATCAGCTAAGAAACAGAACCCAGGTTGCCAAAATGACCTGCATCTCTTACATACCCACCCCTGTCAACCAGTCTTTGAGGTCCCAGCAGTCCCAGTCCCTCTTCTGACCCCAACCACACCCTAGGGACAGGGGAGATCCGGCAAGGTAAGGTAAAGATAAAGCTGGCGGAAGGAAGGGCTCTCAGAGGCAATTAGTGGACAGCTCACAGGGAAAACGGAACTACCACTAATGTGCTTGGTTAATTACGGGTAGAGAAGCCAGGAGAGTGTCTGAGACCACAGGAGCCAGAGTATGTATTGGGAGAGGCTGGGGCGGGGGCACCCACACACGTCCACAGCCATGCACGTGCTCCTCCTCCATATCACACCCAGCCAAGCATCCACCTTGGAGCCTCACACTATACCCAGTTGAGAAGCCAAGCCCTTTACCCCAGTCTGGGCCATGCCAAAAGGTCCCGGATTCATCCCCAGGAAGAGCACTTGCTTGGGCCCCTGGCAGTAGCGAGTCACATAGTTGCGATGAGGCTCCCACGCATACTCCACAGGATTGTAGATGATGCCCACTGGCTCTGAAAACTGCAACTGGCTCAGCTCAGCATTGAGCCGAAGCTCCTCCTCCAAGAAGCCCTCAGCCAAGCTTCGAGGGCGGGGCTGGGGCTCCATCAAGGCACCTGTAGGCTCATGGAGGGACCCCAGTGGGAAAGCCTGGGGCACAGCCATGCTGCTGTCACCTGAAAAGAGACAGAGACCTCATCAGCCCTTAGCCACAGCCCCTACTTCCATCTCCTGGGCTTAGGAGGGACCTGAGAGACCATGTCAGTCATCCAGCTGCCAAGTAGGACTGAGCTCAACTCAGTTCTTGATAATGAAGGTCCTTGCCCTCCCCACTTCACATATCACCTGGAGATGACAAGCCATAACCACCAAACACCTCCCACTCCAAACCTCCTTTCCATCAGGCATAGGTCTGAGTCACGAGTTCCTAGGCCACACCAAGCACATAGTAGGTTCTCCATAAACATCTACTGGTGGCATCTTTTCAGTACCTTTAAATGTCATCCTTAATTAAAAGAAAAAAAAAGCCTAGCCAGGATGGGGTGTGTCCAGGAAACCACAGTGCTAAAGAATAACGCAGGTGCACAGCCACAGCCCAGAGCCCTAGGAGGGCTAATTACAATACCTTCCAGGTGGTGAGCAATTGCTCTACACCAGGTACACCTCACTGATCCTTACAACAACCCCATGAGGTGGGTATTACTGCTCCCATGCTACAAGTGAGGACACTGAGGCTTAGCAAGATTAAGCAACTTGTCCAGGGTCACATAGTTAGCAAGCAATGAAGGTCTGGATTTGAACCCAATCTATCTGGCTCAAGGCTATGCTCTTTATCACCCACACCATCTTGCCTTAGATGGCTTGATCAGCCAACCCACTAATTCTACAATCCCCTAACACCAGTCCTGCTTCTTTCTGACATTCAAGAATAGTAAGAAGTCAATTAGCAAAAAAAAAAAAAAAAAAAGAATAGTAAGATATCACCAGACTCAGAATACTCTTGCAAGTTATGCAACCATGGCTATAGTCTCAGGTTTCCTCACCCAAATACTAAGAATAATAATACCCACTTTATAATGTTGATATAAGGATGGAATGAGATGTTATGTGTCAGTGAGGGGAAGAAGAGGGGAAAGGGAAGAAATAGGAGAGGACTGGGGAGAGGAAGGAAAGAGGGGAATCTGCATTTTGAGCAACCTTCCTCAGGTGATTCTGATGGTTGGTGAAAGCTGAGAAGCATTGCCTGTCACCACGGTTGGTTGTGGCTTCTTCATGAATTCACACCTTGCCTTCCCAGCTAGACTTGGGCAGATCAGGGGCCAGCCCTATTCAATTTCCCTCCATAAGCCCAAGGCCCTGGCTCTTATTAACTACTCAACAAAAGCCTACTCAGCTCTGTCCATCTCTTCTTTCTCAATCTTGTGTTTTGTTTTGTTTTTTGAGACAGAGTCTTACTCTGTTGCCCTGGGTACAGTGCAATGTCATGATCATAGCTCATAGCAACCTCAAACTCCCGGCTCAAGCAATCCTACTGCCTCAGCCTCCCAAGTAGCTGGGACTGCAGGCATGTACCAAACACCTGGGTAATTTTTCTATTTTTCGTACAGAAGGGTCTCACTCCTGTTCAGGATGGTCTCTAACTCCTGATCTCAAGCAATCCTCCCACCTTGGTCTCCCAGAGTGCTAGGATTACAGGTGTGAGCCACCATAATTGGCCTCTCAATCTTGTTTAAAACTACCCTTCTACCAAGGAGCCATTCCTGATGGACTCCTCTCCACTTCTATATCCTGTGTTCACTCAAGGTTCAGCTGCCCACTTTGCACTCTGCTTGCTTTCCAGGGCTTGGCAGCCTCTGAGTGTGTTTCCTTCACATCTGGGCCTCCCATGGGGAAGGGACCATTGTTCTTCCTGCTCTCAATCACCTGCACAGGTCAAGAGTGACCTCTTCCCCCAAATGAGACCTCAATGTTAACACAACAACTTAATCAATCAAACTATTCTCTAACCTTAGCCTAGGAGAAGTGGGAGAAAAAAAATAAAAATAAATCAAAGTCCAAACTTAGGAAGCCCTTCTCCAGATTGATCTCAGAAGTCTTTAACTGATCTGTCCAGGTGGCTACCCAAGACTAGCTTGGCTCATATGAAAACTGTAAAGGGAGCTGTGGAGAACTCAAATGTTTCAAGGAACCTTGCTTTGCATTACCTCATATAACACCAACATTAGCAGACTGGCTGCTCCAGTTCCAAGATCTCCCTCAAGTTTTAAGTTGGGTCTACTTCTGACATTTAGACACCTGTGCTGGAGACAGTAAGGTTGGGGTACACAAAGAGTGACAAGGTCTTACTTTCAGTGTTCCAGAGTTCCAAAACCTGATCCAACAAGAGCTACAGGCTAGAAGACAATTGACTTTAATTCTAGTCCGAGTTACATTTTTAAGAAAGTTCTCTTGAGCAAGTCATTTAACTCTCTTTATGAAAATCACATATTCCATCCAACCTACTACCAGCTGTTAACTCATCTATTTTCTTCAATATTTATGAGTCTCTTGGTGGGGAAGAAATCCAAGATGAATAAACTGTAGGCCAGGCTTTCAGTAAGCTCATAAACTACTGTGAGAGCACTGATACACAACTAACTGTAATACAGTGTGCTTTGAGATTTAATATCCTGAACACTACGGGAGCCCAAAGGAGGAACTTGGAAGTTCTACTTGATGTCACCAAGAGCCAAAGGCTTAAGAAATGTAGATACTTTATAAAATACAGTGTCGTATTACATTAAGCACAAAGGCAGCGGAGTGTGACCTAAAGATAAGTCTGGCCACCAAGACCGGACTTCAGACTGATGTCAGATTTGTCTGACATCAAATCCACTAAGTGAAGAAAGAATTGAAAACACTCTATCCAACCCTTGTCCCTTGGAGGCATTCAGAAAATACTTTTTTTTTTTTTTTTTGAGATTGGGTCTCGCTCTGTCGTCCAGGCTAGAATGCAGTGGTCAATCATGGCTAACTATAACTTCCAACTCCAGGCCTCAAGTGATACTCCGCGTTGGAATCCCAAAGCACCGGGATTACAGGTGTGAGCAACCGTGCCCAGCCAATAAGAAAATCCTCAAACTAATGATAATGATATAATAGTAATAATAGAGCGTGGACTCAAAAAGATTTCATCCCCTCTCCTGGTACCGAGGAGACTGACGGCTGGCTAAAGCACCACACAAAACCTCCGCCTGAGCCCGCTGGCTCCGCCCAATGGGAAAGCCTTGATCCCGCAGGCTTCCCCGGCGGTTCCGTAGACTGGGCTACCCCCGCACTGGGTCTAGCCCCAGACGGAACAAGGGGACCCACGCACAGCCACTCTGACTACCCGCTCGGCTCAGCCCCGAGAGCCCCGGGACGCCTCAGCTAGCCCCAGGGCACCCAGGCTCCCAGCCTTCTACTTCCTCACCTGGTCCAGCTCCCCATCTTGTTTCCGGTTCCTTTCCCCACCCCCGGCGCGAAGGGCAGTGGGAGTCGTAGTCTACACTATTTAAGGAAGGAGATTGGCGTAGCCGTGGCCACTTCCGCCGGAAATGCTCAAATCCCCGGAAGGCGTGCTGAGTTTGCCCTAAGTGACGCTGGGGGTTGTAGTTTGTTTTTCCATCAGGGTTAAATGAAGAAGTCTGGAGAAGTGAGAGGCTAGGATCTGTTAAAGACCAAGAAAATCCCACGTTCTAGCCCTAAAAGATATCACCCTTCCCAAAGTTCATTTACAACACTTCTCCCAAAGGGATGGCTAATCAGAAGGCCTCAACCACCTCCAATCCCTCAACTACCTGAGGGTAAAACCATTTAACTCTAAAGAGTTAAATGACTTGCTCAAGAGAACCTCCTTAGAAATGAAACTGGGGCTGCCCCAGGTATAAAAGAGCTCTCCTTTTCACCCTCCAAGGGCCATTACTGTGTATAGAACATCCACGAAGGCATTTCTGACATCTAACAACCCTTTAGCAAGAGCATCCCCTATTACTGTCCAAGCCCATTTTGACATCTCTCTCTCCTCTGTCTTACTATCTGCCCAGCCCTATAACCTCCTGTATTAGCCATGGGTCTCCAGAGAAATAGAATCAACAGGGTATCTACTTATCTATCTATTATAGGATATTTTTATTATAGGAATTGGCTCACAGGATTATTGAGGCTGAGAAGTCTCATACTTTGCTTGATCTTCTGTCTGTAAACTGGAGAAACAGGAAAGTAGGTGGTGTAATTAAGTCCCAGTCTAAAAGGGCACCAGGGGCTCACTGCTGTGAGTCCCAGAGCCTGAAGGACCAGGTCTCCAGTGATGTCTGAAAGCAGAAGAAGATGTATGTGCCAGCTCACTAAAAGAGAGAGAATTTGCCCTTCCTCCACATTTTTGTTCTCTTGGGCCCTCCAGGAATTGGATAATACCTACCCACATTGGTGAGAGCGATATATATCTTAACTCAGTATATCAATTCAAATGCTAACCTCTCCCAGAAACACCCTCACATACATATCCAGAAATAATGTTTTACCAGCTGTCTGGGTGTCCCTCAGCCCACTCAAGTGGACACATAAAATTAACCATCACACCTTCCATCCTTCCAAATCTTCCCCCTCAAATACTCTATCCAGGAAGTCTTCCCTGACCAATCCTAAACCTATGGCTACACTTAACAGTCCCTTCCTCCACCCCACCCCATCCCAATACCTATGTTCAAAGCTGTCCTATTCCTAGTTTAGTTCTTGTTCTCCATCTGGATCTGTTTCTATGTCCTGACTCTAAGACATTCATTAGACTGGAAAACCCCTAAGGCTAATTATCTTCTAGATTCATCCCACCCCCAGCCCCTGCACACACACTGAGCACAGCCAGGACATAAGCAAGAAGTAAGGTCTCTCTGTAGATGAAAGGGAGTGAGACTAATGAACCCCAGAACAGGAAGAAGTGAAGGAACAAGGATGCCACCTCCTTCCCAAGACCTGCCTGGTCTCCTATCAACAGACAAAAACTTAATGTGTACAGCAAGACTTTCAGGGAGCTGTGAGCAGTGACCCTTTGACATCAAAGGTGAGAACCACCCCTACCCTTCCAAGACTTTAGAAACTAAATTAATCATCCACCTCATGAAGCCCAATATTTCCTGAGCTTTAATTCATACCAGACTCTCTCCCTCTCTGTGTCTCTCTCTGGCTGTGTAAATTTATCTCTGTCTCTGGTCTTTTGTACAGCTTTCTCTCTGTATCCATGTCTCCGTTTGTGTACATTTCCTTATTTCTGCTTCTTGCCCTGGAATGACTGAACTGAGAGCATCTGAGCTTCTAGAACAGGCCCCCCCCATCTCCGTGTATCTATGCATTTGTGTGTTTCTGACCAAAAATAAGATGGAGGGAGACCTCACTGTGGTGTCAGCTCATTGCTTAAAAATTCTATGATCTCCACCATTCTGTGGACAACCCTCCTGCCCACTTCATCTCTCTGCCCTTGTTTGTCCAGCACTTCCAGTTTTTCATCTTGGCAGCCCCTCCACACTCCATGTCTGCTTCTGACAGGGCAGCACTGAGTGAAACAAGTGACAGGCAAGCAGAGATCCCCTATAACCCCTACCCCCCCAAGTTCAACTTCCTGGAAGAATTGTATAACTGTTTCTATGCTTATAAGTCCACCTATCCCAGGAAGCCCAGAGATAGAGTCCAGATATGAGGAGAAGCTGAGGCTTGGGCACCCTGCATTGAGTCCCTACCCACCCCAGAGGGACTTAGGTGCCTTCTCACATCTGTGCTGCTCCTCCTCAACTGGTAAGTCACTCTCAGGAAAGATGAGGTGGGGAGATCTCCTGAACTGGGCATGCTTAGAAACAGAGACCCAGAGACTGTCAAAAGATAGAGCGTGAGAGACGAAACAGGGGATTGGGTGTAGCCCTCCCAACCAGCCTTGTCCATTTCTTAGTCTTCTGGTCTTCTGGGATGTATTCAAGAGGCTGGCTGCTGGTGATTTATGGATAGAGCCTTGTGGGCCAGGAGCAGAAACAGACCCAGGTTATGGCCTAGCTAAGATCCTAGAGAGCTGGGTCACCTGGCCTGGGAGGGGGCCCTGGGCCGCCCACCCCTGCTCCTCTGGCCTGAGCCTGGGCGGGAAGGAGTTAACCTGCTCACTTGTTTTCCTTTGGTTTCGTTGGGCTGCTGGGGCTGTGTTGGGCCATGAGCGCCATCTATCGGCCTCTGCAGGTCCTAGCTCTCACTACCAGCTCACTTGGGTTTCTAGACAGATCTTTCAGCCCTTCCCCCGCATTTGTGCTTCTCCTAGAAAAGGACTGTCTAGCTGCAGGGCCTCCAGCTGCGGAAAACAAAGATTGGGAAGGCCAGGTTTCCCTCTCTCTAGGTACCAGGTGTCACCTGATCAGCTTCCACTCACTGCCTCTGGCCTGGGGAACTCCAAAGCGATTCCAGTGTTTACCTTTTAGGGTAGCCACCTTCCCCAGCTCCACTACATTGGACCCTGTCTCAGTCAGTCCAACAAACATTGAAAGAGCACTGGAGAGAAAAGGCAGCACAGCCAGGACTTTGCAGTGTGGGCTCTGGAATCAGCCTGCTGGATTTGACTCGCAGCTCTGCCACTTACTAGTAGTAGCCTTGGGCTTGTTACTTAATTCCTGTGCCTCAGTTATCCCAGCTGTAAAATGGGATAATCATTACCATCTACTTCTTCTTTTGTGATAATTAGATGACTTATATAAGGTTCTTAATATAGTGCCTAGCACAGGATTTGTGCTCCATAAAGGGTAGTTGTTGTTATGACCATGGCCAGGGTCGCAGGCAGATGCAACTCTGAGTAGCCGAGATCCACGCTGTAGAGCCATATCAGACACACAAGCACAGAGACCAAGATTGGGTGACTGGTGATTTCAACAAAGACAATGACCTGCATACAGGGCTAGGTTTAGAGATTGGAAGTTCAGGATTGCAAAGAAAGTACTTTTCAGGTCTCCAAGGTCAGCAGGAGATGGGATAAAGGGTTACAGAAAGAAAGAACTTGAGGCCAGGCACAGTGGCTCGTGCTTGTAATCTTAGCACTCTGAGAGGCTGAGGTGGGTGGATCATTTGAGCTCAGGAGTTCGAGACCAGCCTGAGCAAGAGCGAGACTCCATCTCTACGAAAAATAGAAAAAAATTAGCCAATTAGCCAAGCATGGCGGTGCGCCCCTGTAGTCCCAGCTATTTGGGAGACTGAGGCAAAAGGATCGCTCAAACCTGAGAGTTTGAGGTTGCATTGAGCTATGACAACACCACTGCACTCCAGCCCAGGTGACAGAGCAAGACCTTGTCTCAAAACAAGAAAAAAAAGAGTCTGAGGTAAAGAGTAGGAAGGAAATGCATTAAGGAACAGGCATTAACAGGCCCTTTTAAGTGCCCTGATTTAGGGAAGGGGAGAGAGGTCCTTGAAGAGTGAGGTGAGCTAGGGCCACTGCATCCCAAGGATGTGTCCTTGGCCCAGGCACAAAAGTCTCGAGGGTTGATCTGACTCCTCAAGCCTCCAGAGGTGTATCGTATCACAGCCACATTCTACCTCTGTGGGGACTAAACCTTCTGTGTCTTTCCCCCAGCCAGCTGGGGAGGGACTCACAAATAGAGAAAGCTACCTGCAGGTCCTACAGGTGCCACTCCCACCTTCCTCCCAGAACCAGAGAACCAGGGGAGCTAGGCTGTGAGTTCACCAAGTTGTTCCTTAACAGGTTCGGCCATCTCCCAGTCTGTGTCTCCATATCTCTGCCTTCTACCTTAAAGGGAAATGGGCACATAGGATTCTTCTCCAAGAGTTGAGAAGGAAGCACAGCAATGCCCTCTCAGTTTAGACAGAAATGCAGAGCCAGTGGTCCCTGGCTCAGCTCCAGAGCAGCACAGCCCAGCTTTGTGGGTTGATGTCCACTTAGCTAGAGACAGGGATAGCGTCCAACTCTCCCTCACTCAGGTGTCCTTCATCTCCTGGGACCTGGGTGCCTGGGTCCCAAGGAAAGGAGCAGGAACAGGCTACATGGGCTAATTTGCATCACTTACTTGGGAAGCAATTATCGGAGGAGCTGTCAGCTCAGCGCAGCTCTCTTCTCGCTAATCGGATTTCACCAGAGCCCGGGGCTGGGGGGGTGCTGAGTAATTTGGCTTGATGCAGTGGTGGGAGATGTCGGGGCCAGGAGGCCGGACAATCTGTCTGAGTGGTGTTAGAGTTGTCCAGAGCAATTATCCTGAGGGGACCACACAGACTCAAACAGACAGCCAAGGGGCCTGGGCTGATCCCCAAGACCTGCAGCAGGAAGGATGGAAAGTAGACTTTTGGCAGAGTGGGAGGAGCACCTCCCACAGGTTGAGCTGCATTAAGCAACTAGGAAGAGAAGTCAAGATGAGTCTGGGAGAGGGGCCAAGTAACCAAGTGGGAAGGAGACCCAAAGATCCCAGCTTCCAACCTGCTCAATGCCCAGGCCCTGCCCTGCCCTGCACCCCAGGGAACCAACAACAGAGCAGGAACTTGAACCAAGGGTGAGTCTTCTGAGCCCTGCTCCTCCCCTGCAATTCGCCCAGACAACCTTCTTTGCCCCTGTCCTGGATCTGTCATTTGCCTTCTCTTGCTCCTGCAGCCCTCTAGATCATGTCCCCTCCTTCCCACCCACACTGCCCCACTCATCTCTCACCAGGTTTTGCAATGGACTGCCGACCCCTCTCCCACCCTTCCAAAACAGTGATAAGGATGATAACAATAACTGACCACTACTGGGTGCTTCGTCCACACCAGACACCACCCTAAGTGGTGTAGATTCCCTCATTTAATCCTCACAACACTTTGAGGAACATACTCTTACATCCCCGTTTTACTGATGAGGACACTGCCACTGACGACTTCCTGAAGAGAGGGACCACATCTGATCTTCGCATCCGAGCTACCAGGGTAGCCCTGGTGCATGGCTGATGTACCATGAATGTCTGTTGACTGAATCAATGATTGAATGAACGATTTACCCTATCCCCTACTCCCACCAGCCTCCTGGTAATTACCACATCCCTGGCTCAACCTTCCAGCCCTCCTGTGTTCTGAACACCTCAGCTCGACGTCCCTCATACCTCTGCACGCACTCCCGCGCACCTTGGAGAGCTGGACTTACTCATCTTCTCCTGCCTTTGTACGATGGCCCACGTTGTCCCTTTGCTTGGAACATTCTTCCCACCCCATCTCTGCCATCAAATACATCCTGACCCTCCCCAAGGCCAAGTCAAATGCCACCTCCCTTGGAAGCATTCCCTGATCTTCCCTTCACTTATACCTCCCTGGTGACCCTTCTCACCAACTGTTAAGAGTTTCACTTGTTAAAATGCCAATGGCCCCACTAGGCTGTTTTCGGACTTCTCCCTCCTGAGCACAGGCCACCTTGGACCTATTGGGTGCTCAGTAATACCGTGGAAAACACGATATCTGCTCCCTGGTTTGCTTTATCTCACTCAGGGATGCCCTAAGAGCAGGTTGAAAGGAGCACGGGACTTTCAAGGAAACTTGGAGTTGGTGATCTGGCATTTAGCAGCAGTATGACCTCGGGAAGATCATCACCTCTCTGAACCTTGGGCCAGTCTTTTCTTCCTTCACCAGGAAGGGAGGATGTTGATGCCTACCTTGCAGTGCACGTGACTCATTCTCATCTTATCTGCTCAGGGCCTGTTACATAGGCTGTGGGGATGTGTCTGTCTCTCCAACTTTCTGCCTCACTGTTGAGCCTCTACCTCTTTGACCTCCTCAATTCAGGCACATAGCCCAGGAGATCTACTACTCGGCTCTCTCACTGTCACTCAGGCATGTCAACCTTCTTGATGTTCCCACTCCCAGGGGTGGCCTCACCCTTTCCCAGGGAGCCCAGGGGACCAGCCCCACGTTGGCTCCACCACCCCCTTAACAAGTGAGAGCTGAGTTCTCCCTCTGAAAATATTAATAATAAAGAAAGGAGGCACTGGGCATAGAACTGGATGCAAATTGCCCTGGATTCTCAGTCCAAGAAAGAGAATGCCTGAGCGGTGGACCCAGAGAAATCCTGGGCTCGTTTGCATGTCATTTGCATTATATTTACATGTGATCAATTTCATGTTCAAATGCACAATTCTCCCTTCCCCGGATTTTCTCCCCCAGGGTCCCCTCAGCCTCTGCACCCCCATCTCTACCCTGAGCCCCTGACACTCTTCTCCCAGCCCCTGCCACAACGCTCCTTATCCTCTTTCTCCTTGCCAGTGTCCCCAGCCTCCAGCTTCCCTCTCTACCAGCAAGGACCCAGTTGCCCAACACCCAGAATAGCGTCCTGGGGTCTCACCCCACAGTTCAGGAGGGGCATCCCTGCCCGCCCCCTCCCTGCCCGAGCCGGGCAGGCGCAGCAGACAGCAAGCGCGCCTCTCAGCAAATCCCAGCCCCATTCAGCCTGGTGATTAATGGCGCTGCCCTCCCCATGAACCTGCCTTTAATACTGAGGAAGTTATGAAACCGCTATACATCAGCAGCTCCGGCCCCACTGCCCCCGCCCGCCGCCTCCCCTCCACCCCCACCCTCTAGCTCCCTCTTCAAAATCTCATTTGGGCTCCTGCCTCCTAGGCCCACCCCTCCTCTGGCCTTTGCTGGGGGGAGGAGGGTGTCTGCCCCTGCTGCCGTCCCTGGTGAGGACCACATCTCATTTTCCTTCCTCTCGTCCCCCTGCTCCGCCCTCTCTCCCTCCCCACCCCCCCACGGCTGCATCTCCGGACCCATTTAGAATTGCTGACATTTTATCTGCATTACATACATCACTCCGTCCCCAGCAGCCATCTCTCATGGATTGTCGGGGGCGAGGGCGGGGTGGTCTTCAGCTTGGAAGATTGTGAGGAAACAGGGTGGAGGTGGAGAGATAGATAGCACTTCCTCCACACCCCTCTACCCTCAGGGCCCGCTCCCCAGCCACCAGAGAGCTTGTGCAGGTGGGAGCCTAGGATGGATGATGGCGAGGGTTGTACCCTAGCCTCCTTAGGCAAGTCGCTGCTACCTCACAACATCAAAAGACCTTTTCTTAGACTGCATAGACTAGGGAAGGTCATGTTACCCATCATCCTGCCATGAGGCTCCTCCACAGGAGATTATGAAAGTGGTTGTTTAACCTCTCCACTGACCTGCTCTAATATTTTCCACATCTCCGTTTTGGGAAGTCCCTCTGAATGTCTAACCACTGTGCCTCATGCTGCAGTCATGATTTTCTTTTTGCTCTGTCTTTAGAAGGTTGATGGGCAATATTGTTCCTCACATGCATTAAACCCTTTGTTAGGATGTCCAAGCAATCATAAATACGTCACTCTTCCACACTCCTGAGACTTATAAACATGATAGGAGTCAGAGGCTGGAGCCATCCTAGAAAGGAGAAAATTGAGACCCAAAGTCTCCTGACCCAAAGTCAGGAGAAGGAAAGGCAGGAACCTATCCAAAACCAGGGGGCAGGCCAGGCTCCCAGCAGGCAGTTTTCGCTCCATGGAGAGATGGACAGACAGAGGCAGTGACAGATAGAGAGGTCTGGACCAACAGACAGACAGCAGAGGAGAAAGGAAGGAACAACTGGAGGAAGACAGGCAAACAAAGAGACAAACAAACAAAGAGCTAGACAGACAAAGGGACCGTCAGCCGGGGACAGGCCGACAGGCAAGAGGAAGCCAGCAGAGGCACTGGTGGGGCCGAACACATGAGAACAGCTCGCTCCGTCTGTCTCTGTCACTCAGGGTCTCTGCTGGAATGTGTCTGTCAGGGTCTCTGGGACGCTTTTTGCTCATTGGATCTGCATCTATCCATTTTCATGGGAATCTCTGTTTTCCTCAGGACTCTCTGTCCCCTACCCTTTGGTCTCCCTGTCTGTGACCCCATCCAGTCACTCCCTCTGTCTCAGGTCATCTTTCCGACCTGCCCTTCACTCTTCCTCCCAGCAAAACTCAGACACTTCCTGCGGGCTCTGGGAGGCTCCCAGCAGAACTGGGCCAGGCCCCTAGGGACGGACAGCAGGGACAGGGCCTGGAGCAGGCGGAGAGCCGTGCAGGACTGTGTGCCCAGGCCTAGCCAGGCTCAGCCAACCAGGCAAGAGGAGCCTGGCGGGGAAGATAGAGGCCCGTGCATCAACCCCAGACAGAGCAGCCCCCAGCTCTGGCTGCAGGGGTGTGACTGATTTACATGCCGTTTGCGTGTTGTTTGCATGTCCCTGACGACCAGTCATCTCCACAGAGCTGGCCCTCCGATTCCAGGCTCTTGCCAGCTCAGTCTGGCCCTAGGAGGCTTGGGGTGGGGACAGGGCAAGGTGGGGAGGGGGTTCACACACTGGTGCCCAGGAGTGTCTGTCCTGCACCTCCTGACAGCACAAGTCACATTCCTGCCCTGCCAAGCAGTGCCTTCCCTCCTAACTTATAGCCAACCTCTCAACCCCAAGAGCCAGCTAGACATGCTTTCCTCCAAACATGACTTTCACTGTCCTGCCTCTGATCTTTGTCCCCTTGGTTCCCCTAGCCTTCCCTACTCTTCTCTCTTTTGCTCAGTATTAGCCGTCTTTTAAGGGCAGGCACCAAGCCCTCCTCTTCCATGAAGCCTTCCCTGGTCACACAGGCTCACAGTGATCATAAAATTACAGCTCTCAATGCTGGAAGGCACCTAGAGAAACCACAATATGCCTTACCTATCTTCAGGACTATGGTGCTGTGCCATCACCATTTGATAGATGAGGCAACTGAGGCCCAGGCTCAGTCATGTCCATTTCCCAGGGGAGGACAGCAGGGAGGGAGGGAGGAGATGAAGGCCCAGGGTACTCTTCTCGCATCCCCAGCTCCCACCCTTCCCTGTCATTCCTGCAGCAGGGAGCCACGCCCTGTTCTGCATGGCTGGTGAGCTTACCATTAGGTACCGTGGCGCAACTTCTGGATTGGGAGTTTAGTCTGCCATGAACTCCCTGGGCTTCATCTGTACGGAACTACTGGCAGTTCCCTAAATTCTCCTTGCCCTTTCTTAGCAGCATGTCTTTGACCATGGTGGTCTCTCTGACGGGACTGCCTTTCTCTCCACCTTCTTATGAACCTGGCGAACTCCAGCTCATCCCTCAAAACCCATCTCCACTCTCACCTTCTCTGTGCAGCCTTTCCTGGTTTCCCCCTCAGTCCCCTAGCACCATATTAAGCCTCTGAGGCAGCACTTGTCACACTGTTGCTGACAGCCCAGCCACACATCCTTCAAGGGCAGGGATCACCATGTCCTGGTCAGCTCCTCCCCAGATCGCACACAGGCATGGCACAGGTTACTTAGTGGAACCTTCCTTACCACCTTCCTTCCCCTTCCCAGGCCCACAGAACAGAAGCACTGACCTACTGGGGTCAGAAAGAAAGACCAAGACGCTGGGGAAATGTGCAAGAAGGCTCAGGAGATGACCCAGGGGTACCGATGTCCATTATTTAATTTTCTAAATAATCATAAGTAATAACTCTGTAATGTGATGCTCATAAATGAATGTGTGAGTGGAGAGAGGAAGGTGGAGGAACAGAGGAAACAGGAAACAGAGCCAAAGGGGGTGAGGGAAGAAGGAAGAAAAGGAGAACAAAGAGAAGGCAGAAAGGAGGTAGGTAGGTGCGGGCAAGAAAGGACAAGAGCTGGCAGGGCGTGAGGGAGAGGGAGGGGAACAGGAGGAAGCCAGGGGAAGGAGAAGGGCCGAGATTTTGACTCCAAGCACGTCCAGCAGAGGTCCTGGCCTTGACCCTCAGTGTCATTCCTGCCCCCATTTTCCCATCTGGAAAATGGACACGTCTCCCCTTCTCCGGGAGCAAGTGAGGCTGGGCAGGGAGCACGGGCTGCCCCCTGCGCCCTGTGTTCCTTTCACGTACACTATCTCCCAGCAGCCCTGTCACCCCACCTTCCCTTCCCACGCAGGCCGAGACTAAGGGGAAGCCAGCCGCCTCCACGAGGTGGGTCTGACTCCCACAGCCTGCGCTTGCCCCTCAGCACTGAAGACAGGCAGGAAAGAGAGGCAGAGGACATTGCCCGGCCCACTTGGAAAGCCAAGGTGCAGAGAACAGAGGAGGACCAGACCCCACGTGTGCGGCGTTGCGGTGTCATCTCCTGCCCCAGGAAGCGCCCCTCCTGCACCTACTCAGTCTTGGCCTGGTAGGTTGATGATATTCGATCTGAGACTCTGAGGACCTCACCGGGGCTCTGCAGACACATGTAAGCAGATGCAGAAAACTGCTGCTCCGTTCCATCCTTTCCCCTGCCATGGTCAGCAGCCAGCAGGAGCCGGTCAGGCATCCTACCATCCTCCCCTTTGAGACACCCCGCACAGATCTCTTGCCCATCCCGAAAGCCCAAGGAGCCAGCAATGCCCATGGTTCTCTGCGGCTTAGAGGTGCACAGTGGCAAGTAACTGTACCCAGTCCCCTCCCCCCACAGGGAAGTATAGGTGGGGGCTGTGGACCACAGAGGACTTTCCCCAACCCTGCAGAACCAGAGCCTTACCCCAGAGGCACAGGCGACTTCCCTGTGTTCAGCCTCCCTCAGATAGCCGAGCCCAGTGGCCCATGTCCTGCTCTGGCAGGAAGTCCTTCCTGATGTCTACCTTACATCTTTCCTGCTGCTGTCTATTCAGTCCTCAGCAGTGACAGAAGAGCAGGATCTCAACTCTAACAGTCGGGGAATAGGTAAGAGAACAAGCACTTCACTTCAAGCCTTGGGTGATAATGCAATAAAAGAAGAGTGGTTCACTGAGCCCTCTCCCCTCCTCCCTACTAGCAGTAGAAATGGAGGGTAGACAACTGGAAGGACTTCCTAACTGAGAGACGGGAGGTACTTCTGGAATAGGATCATAAAGTGCAAATGCTGCACCCCCTCTGGCGGCCTCCCAGCCTGGCAGAGACCCTTCGGTGGCAGCTGCAGGAGGGTGGCACTTCCAGCACTTCCAGAAAGGCTCCGAGTGCTGGGGCTGCTGGGAATCCCTGCAGCTGCCTCTGAAAGGAGAAAAACCTGGTCCCAGAGCCCTCTTGTGGCCACGCAGAGGCAGGACAGGCAGCTCTGGTTTAACCGCCCTGAGGATCAGAGCTGGGGCCCAAGGGCACTGTCGCAGGGAAGGCAGCCCCAGTGCCCCACCTTCTGTGCGAGGCCCCATCCCAGCCCCAGCCCAGCAGCACCTGCTCAGGAAGCAGCAGGGCACAGAGGGAGCACTGGAAGGAGAGGCAGGCTAACCCCATTCCATTCCTACTTTGCTGCTCTCCAGCTATGTGACCCTGGGCACACCTCCCTGCGCTGAGCCTCAGTTTTCTCATTTGTTAAAAGGGAATAAAAACTCCCCTGCGTAATACCTTAATTTTGCAACAAAAAAAGAAAAAAAAAAAGAATAAAAAAATAAAAAAAAAAAAACTCCCCTGCGCTGAGCCTCAGTTTCCTCATTTGTTAAAAGGGAATAAAAACTCCCCTTGGCCCACCATTACCTTACAGGAGTGTGGTAAAAACCAAATGTAATAATAATGTTCTGTATGTGAACAACTATGAGTCATTTTTAAGACTTTTCTTCAAATAGGTGGGGAGGGGGATTCTGAACTTGTAATGGGGGTGTGATTGGAACAGATGGATTCTGCCCCCTCTAAACCCACCACTCATGATCTCCTAGAGGGAGGGGACCCTTAGAAGAAGGAGCAGAAAAGCTCCCCTACATAGAACTCTCCCACCAATGCCTACTTTCAGAAGGGTGGGACTGCTTGGTAAGGACCAGTTTAGAAAAATAGTGGGCAGCGTAGCTGGCCTGGGACCCCAGAGTGTACGGCGGGACATCAGGGAAGCCTAGGATGTCAGCGTGCCCACGTCCTAGTGCCAGTGCCCACTCCAGGCTTGTGCAGGCACAAATCCATCATACCTACCAGCTGACCTCAGGGTCAGATGGGGAACAGAGACCAGAGGGGCCTTCTGGGGCTTGGGCAAGCACTAAGGGACACCCAGGCATGTATACCCCCCCACGCACAGGCACACAGAGCTGGCTCCCCAGATGTACCGCACACACTCAGATCTCCCCACACACTGCTCGGCCCCCCTTAGTCTCTCCATCAGCCCCATCCTGAGAAGATGCGGGAAGGCTGGAGTGGATGGTGGAGGCACAGGTCCCGGAGCAGGGACCATGCACAGGGCCAGGGTGGGAGGTGCCCCAGCCCATCCTCCAGCATCAGTGGGGCCCTGAGGAGGCCAGGCCCCCTGACTCCTCTGCCAGCATTCACAGAGAGGCCAGAGGATGAGCAGGAAAACACCCTAGCAGGGGCCTGGGGGTGTGAACAGAAGGGACTGGGGAGAGCAAGGATTATAAGCCTGGATGAGGACCAGTCTCGCCCCGGGATCCACAGCCTTTTTGCAGGACTACTCTCTGGCTATTTGGAAGTTTTTCCAGGCATCTAACCTCAAGCTTTCTTGCTGGGATTGGAGGGGATTTCTCCCTGGAGACTGCTCTGGCTTCTTACCTCTGTCGTGAACCAAACAATTCCAATACCCTGAAGAGGAAGGAAGGGCCAAAACTGGTGATGGGTGACAGGGAGAGGGCAGGAGGCACGGGGGTACAGGTGACAGGGTGATGCTCAAGACCTTCTCCCCACTTAGGAGGAAAAGCCAGGGAATACAGACTCCTCTTGGAGGGAAAACTTGGGATGAATGACAGGGAGGGCTTCCCAGAAAAGGGTGGATGAAAACAATCTCTGAAAATATTTTAGATTAGAAACTGGAGATGACAGGGAGAGAGAGGAAAGGAAGAGGTAGGTGAGAGGGCAAGAGACGAAAAAAGGAAGTGCCTGTCCATCAAAAGAAGAGAGAGTAGAGAAAAAAACCACAGATGGCAGGGACCTAAGATAGAAAAAGCTCCGGATGGGTCCACTTGCCTTTCTGGGCTTGTTCCTTCTCATCTGGGATCTAAATGAGCACAACTCAGGGCCGAGCATGTAGAAAGGCAAACACAGGGGCTTCCTTCAAACCACATGCAAGTGAATCAGAGCAGGAAGGACCCTGGATGCCCCCACAGCCTTAGGGAGAGGCTCTGGAGGTCCCCACATTCTACCCCTAGCACCTACCACCTGGCTGCCCACCAGAATCCAGCAGGACTCAGGGGAACAACCCTCGGTCCTGCCCCAGAGCTCCTGGATCGCAGGGTCTCAGGAATCGGGATTTTAGCATCCCCAAGCCATTCTAAGTCATCTCTTGAGAATTCCTGGCTCAACCTCATGCTGCCACTTTCAGCATAGGGAAACGAAGCCAGGAGAGGAAGAGCAACCTTCCCAGTCACCAGCTGCAGGCTGGACCGCACACGTGCAGGCAGGGAGGCCGTCTCACTTCCCCTCCACACCTCCTTAGCCCCTGACTCCAGGAAAGGTCTTCCTGACCTTGCCTCTCAGTTCTGGTGCTGTGGGGGACTCCCTCCCACTCTCTGGCCCAAGTACAGACCTTCTTTCAGTCACCAAGACCTGAGTTAGGCCGAAGCATCTAATGTCCATCCCAGCACCTAACACATGGGAAGCGCTCAGTAGGCATTTGTGGGATGAACAACTCCATCCACCCAGGGAGGGCAGGACCATGCCTGGAGTCCCTGAGAAGAGGCAAGGGAAAGAGCAGCTCAATCCTGTCTTCTCCAGTCTGAGTCCTGTAGGGAGCTGGGACCAGGGATACCTTGGTTCCAAGTTCTTCCTCAGCCACCTGAGCCCCACCCAGGGCCAGGAGAGCCACAGGACCCAGCTCTGCACACTAGCTCTGCGGTGCGGTTGCCTTGGAGAGCAGCTCATTCTCCAGGTACATGCACAAGGTCAGCAGACACCCCTGGAGGCCAGGCAGTGTCAGTGGCTTGAGAAGACCAAGGGTTATGGATGCTCCATTCCATCTCCAGCTGAAGGCCAGCAAGGATCATTCTGAATGCTGGACGCAGGGGTACAGTTCTGGGAAAGGTCCATCTCCCCGTCCCCAGCCCGGATGAGACCCTCTAACCTGCTCTAGCCCTCTCAGACGGGGGGGGGGGTCCCCTCTGTCAGCCTCGGCAGTGTCTGCCCTGAAGGTCTCCTGATGCAGAAAGCCAGGAGGGCACAGACCATGGGAAGAGCAGATTGAGCCAGAGAAAGGGAGAGTGGTGCTAGCCATGCAGACTGCTCAATGACCATTCGAAGTGACACTTTGAGTCCTGGCAGGCTGAAGACAGGTGGCTTAGAGTCAACCAGAGAAAAACAGGCATAGGATAAGATGCCAGCACTCAGAGTAGGGACAGCAAGAAGCAGAGAAGGTGGGGAAGAAGGAGGAAGAAACCGAGGCAGATAGGATGGGGCCAATGAAACAAGAGTAATCTGCCTCTCTGTGCCTCAATTTCCCCCTCGAAGCTACTGCCCACAGCAAGGCCCCATCATCCAGCCTTTCATGGGAACCCCCAGGCCTCCCCTGCCCAGCGGCTGGGCTTCCTGTGGGTTCCTCGAGCACCCAAGTCCCTTTCAGGGGGAACAGACCAGCTGACTGGGTTCTAGTTCTGTATCTGCCCCTAATGTGCTTTGTGGAAAAGGACCCACCCCGCTAGGGCCTTGGTGTTCCCAGCTGTTAAATGTGGGGAGCCCACTAGGAGGCCTTTAAGAGCATCTCCATCTGCTCTGCTCTAAGAACACATAATGCCAAGTGCTTAGAGATGGTCTAAGGGAGTAGTGGGGGGCAGGGAGACATAAAAAGACTAAAGGCGAAGAGGATCCTGAGATCCTCTTATTCTGCAGATAGGGAAACTGAGGCCCAGAGCAAGCCCATGGTGCCAGGACTGGAAGAACCTTTAGATCTTCAGTGCTCAAAGCGTGGTCCGTGCAGCAGCAGCACTGGCACCCCGGAGGCGCTCATAGACACGCAGCATCTCAGGCCTTGCCCAAGACCTACTGAGTGCGAATCTGCACCTTGACAAGATCCCCAGGGGTGTGAAGTTTGAGAGTGCCACGCCAGCAGCTGGTGGAGCACATGGGTTGGTCACAGAGCTCGGATAGAGGCTTGGCCACTCTGCTTACCAATAGGCTTACGTTCATTCATCTTCGAGGTGGACATAACAAAACGGCTTCACGGGGCTATCACACAGATTAGAGCCAAGATCAAATGAGACGTGTTCGGCACAGTGCTGGGCACATGGGAGTGCTCCATAAGCAGTCAAAGTGGTTATCGGGGCTCTGGCTAGCACCATCGTATAGGACATGTTATGCTTCATCTTGTTGCTTGGCTGAGACAGCCTGGTTACCTGTTGGCTGTGCAGTGTCAGGCAAGGCCCTTGACCTTTCTGTGCCTTAATATCCTCACACATAGAATGAGAATAGCCAGAGCGCCTCTCTTGTAAGAGTGTTGCAGGATTAAGTAATTAAGTGATCTGATGAATGTGGCAATAACCATCCTACAAATGTTGGCCATAATAGTAATAATAGTAGTTTTTACCGTTGTTATTACAAGAGCCCCAATCTCCAGACACCTAGATTCTAGCGAAAAAGGTAAATATCCTTCATCCAGCTGCTCATTTGGGCCATGAGGGAGAGGCTGGGGCAGAGACAGGGAAGCCAGAGAAAGGGAGCACAGCCACTTCTAGGCGGCAGCCCCCACCCCTTGGGGTGGGGCGGAGCAGGCACTTGTGAGGCCTCAGTGTCTGAATGGAACCCCATGTAAGAGCAATGAAGCAGGAGGCTGAA